CAGTGGCCCGTTTCTGCCAACATTGATGGAAATAACGTTTTTAAGTTTTAAATGTGAGATGTAAACCTAAACTACTTCAGTTTTTTTTTTAAAATTCAATACTTAAACTGTGGGGAGAAGGTGGCTTGGAGCCAGAGAAAACATTCTCATTTAATAGTGTTTGCACATGGAACGGCCGCACAGTTTGTAGCGAGGCTCTGAGAAAAACCCACAACTAATCCTTCATCGCAGCTGTCCGAACTCTTGACCATCTGCCATCTCCCAAACAGCGACTTCTTTTTTCTGGTGACTCCAGGCTTGAATGACCTAGTGTGGAGAGTTTAAACTATATACAAGGAGGGGGGTGGGAAGGGAAGGGACCTTAAGTCAGCCTCAGCCAAAGGTTTTGTGCATAGGACTTCCTGTGCCTGCAGCCCGTCCCCGGGGCATCTCCCTGAGAGGGAATTCACCAGGATGGCCCAGCTTCGCCTTCACTGACCCACTCCTACCCCAGAAACAAGTCAGGAGCAGCCGTGGAATGTGCCATAGGAGAATGTTCTCTCTCGGAGGTGGGCACAGTGAGCATACCCTAGGCCTAAAGTGCGCCCCACCTCAAATCTGGCTTTGGTGGCTTGTTGAATGAGTCGACTGGCTATCCTCTTGGAGCTGATAGCATAAGATTGATGGTGCCTCCTTTTACAAGAAAAAGAGTGGGAAGAAATGAAGCAATTTCTTAACTGTACCAACAGAAACAAGATGGGCCCACTTTAGGGTCATGGTCAGCAGGCCACACTACAAAGGTTGTTGCCGATATCTTTTCCACTTCCTCTCCTTGGGTCAGGGCAGTGGGTACAATTTCACTCTGTGGGAAATTAGAATCACATTAAATGTTTTACTTTGTTTCTTTTTTTTTTTTGACCACACAGCATGCGGGATCTTAGTTCCCTGACCAGGGATCCAACCCGTGCCCCCTGCAGTGGAAGCGTGGGGTCTTAACCACTGGACCAGCAGGGAAGTCCCTTACTTTGCTTGTTTTTTTTTTTTTTTTTTTTGGTACGCGGGCCCTCTCACTGTTGTGGCCTCTCCCGTTGCGGAGCACAGGCTCCGGACTCGCAGGCTCAGCGGCCATGGCTCACAGGCCCAGCCGCTCCACGGCATGTGGGATCTTCCCGGACCAGGGCACGAACCCGTGTCCCCTGCATCGGCAGGCGGACTCTCAACCACTGCGCCACCAGGGAAGCCCCTTTGCTTGTTCTTTACTGCTTTCTTTCTGTCTGGTGGTGGGGCTGTCTTAACCGGACCCAGTCATTCTAGGACGCGTGTTGTAATGAACTGTTTTCTCAGGTCTGTGAGGTTTCTGATGTGCATCTAGTGAAGCAGAGCCCTCACCCCAAGGACGGTTGGCTGTCACGCAGAGGGGGAGTCCTTGCCAGCCATGGGCGGGCCCAGAGCCTTCAGGAGATGCAGGCTCATTCCTCTCCCCAGGAAGACTCTCTTTCAGAGAACTGGGATCTCACTAGGAAAACACTGGGAATCCAGGGCTTGCTTTGGATCTAATGAGCTGGTCCCTTGCTGCCAAGGTCTGAGAAGTGATAAAGTACTTACTGTTTAATGAGGACCAAAAGCCTCCAGGCATGACAGCCAATAGCTACTGTGCTCCAGGCCTATCACCCAAGGACCAGCAAGGAGAAAGAAAAGTGTAGAAGGAGGCAGGTGGAAAGAGTGAGGAACCAGCCAGGGCAAAACTAGACCTATGGGCCAGAGAGTTCACACACATCGGCTATTGGAAGAGGTGGTGGAGGAAACGGATTCTGTTGATGTCAGCCCAGGAATTCTGGAGGATACAGTGGAAAAGTTTGGACGGAGCAGGAGTGGCGGTGTAGGCAGTAAGAGTTTACCCATCAATGGACGTCTTAAGTCCTGATCCCTTGAAGCAAAGCCTTGTGCGAGTGATGGGTGCTCTCAGGAGAAGGGAAGCAGGAAATAGCTGGAAAGGGTGTGGTCTCTGGAGACCAGCCTCAGCATGATCCCATGGGAGCTCTCCCACCTTGAGGCAAGGAGGCCGGCCTTCTGTGTGCTTGTGTCCATAACTCACTGGCTGCATGCAGGCTGCCGCATGGGTGGAGGGGTGTGAGGGGCTAACTCCTGGGTGAGGGAACTCCCATTAGGCTGAGGACAATTCTCTGGGTGAGAAGGGTACGTGTATGCATTTATGAGCATTTTAGCAGCCAACAGGGCAGTAGGAGGAGGGTTCACCTGCCCAGTGAAGGGGATCTGGGTGGACACCAACAGTGTCCACAACATTGGGTGGCTTGGGAGGGGCCATAACCGGTGTTTGCAGAGGTAAAGAGGGACGTGAGGCAGATGGGACTGGTGCTGACGGTCTCTGAGCTGGGTTACTCCATTCACACCTCCAGATCTGTTGTCCACCTTGCCCTGTGCCCCTGGGTAGACATTGCCTAGGCTCCCTCACCCTCGACTGCTGCTGACCGCAGCTGGGACTTGCTGGCAAGGGACTGCAGGCTGAGAGAAGAGGTCCAGGCCTTTAAAAACGCTGCCTCTCTAGGCCACCGCTGGACAGGGGCTGTATTCTTCTTGAGGCCAGAGCCCTTGTCCCTCGGGGGCTTTTCTGTTGCTGAAGGTCTCATCTGGGCCCCTAACAGCCCTCCACCACACCTTGATGGTTCTCTTAACCCTCCCCAGGCTTTGCTGACCACCTACCCCTAACTCTCTCTATTGATTCCTTTGACTGTCCCATCAGTTAGGAGAAGGGAGGCCATTGGTTCTGGTCTCTTAGGTCAGTGCTTCTCAAACTTGACCACACACCCCCATCACCTGAGCATCTTGTTAAACACAGAGTCTGAGTCAGCAGGTCTGGGGAGGGGCCTGAGATTCTGCATTTCTAACAAGCTCCTAAGTGGTGTCTGTGCTGCTGGCCTGGGAACCACACTTTGAGTAGCAAGGCCCTGGGCTTTTTGTTTTAGTGAGAGGCATGGTCTCTGGTTGGGGTGAGGAAGATGGAAGGAGGGAGGAGGGGGCAGGAGCTCTGCAGACTCCCCAAAATCCTGCTGTGGGAGGTCACATGGCTGAGAGGCTTAGAAAGGGTGGTCTTAGATCCAACAAGTATTAAGACATTACTTTCAAGACTACTAGAGAATCCTTTTTAAAAAAACCACTGTGATGTAACGCAGATATAAAATACACTAAGTAACTGGGGAAATAATTATTTATTTTAAAAATGTCAGAAGCTTTGTGTTAATGGATCCCCACCCCCAAATTTTTGTGAGCAGTAAACATTTACCAGTCTCAAAACACACATGATGACATACAATTTAGGTTTACAGTGGTTTTTTTTGCTTTTTGTTTTTTTTGCGGTACACGGGCCTCTCACTGTTGTGGCCTCTCCCGTTGTGGAGCACAGGCTCCGGACGCGCAGGCTCAGCGGCCATGGCTCACGGGCCCAGCCGCTCCGCGGCATATGGGATCTTCCCGGACCGGGGCACGAACCCGCGTCCTCTGTATCGGCAGGCGGACTCTCAACCACTGCACCACCAGGGAAGCCCGGTTTACAGTGTTTTTAAGCATTCCGTTTCTACGTGCATTTTTTAGATCCTATAACATTAATTTAGATGACACCAAATCAATAAAAACTTAAAAACTGATGTGTTGGGTTTATTTTGCAGTTCTATCAAATAATACATTTGCATGTATTATTTATTTGTGATAAATTTATTAATACATTTGTATTAATATTACCTATTTTTGAGTTGGAAGTGATGTTTCGGCAGCCTCAAATGCTATCCAGGGGCACAGCGATGCCTGACCTCCGTGCAAGACAGACCTCAGGTGTTCCTCATCGGTGCCTCCAGAGCCTCAGCTGGCCTCAAAGCTCAAAATTTATGTGCTTGTAAGCCTGTGGTTCAGTCTTGAGCGTGCATCAGAATCACCTGGAGGGCTAGTTAAAGCACAGATAGCTGGGCCCCACCCCCAGGGTCTCCACTTCATCTGGGGTGGAACCAGAGAATTTGCACCTCTAGCAAGTTCCCAGGTGATGCTGATGCCACTGGTCTGAGGAGCATGCTCTGTCATCATAAGCGAGATATGCTGAGTCACCATAAGATGATCGAGACACCGTGAACTGGGTGCACGACAGCCATGCGGAGTCCATCCTGCACTCAGGCTGTTTCTAGAGGGCTCACAATCGCCACAACAGGGTAAAGTACAGATCGTCACAGATCATTTCATATTCCTTTTCAATTCCTCTGCTTCTCTATCAGGTAGGTACCCATGCTTGATATCCTAGCCCTTGGCCCTCTTGAAACATTTTTTCCCCTCCTAGCTCATTCTCTCTTCCTGGAGTTCAGAGGAATGGTTAATCCTGAGAAAGGAAACCGAGGACTGAGTTTTGTTAGTCCTGGCAAAAACTCTAAGACATTCCTAGGCACAGACTGGTCAAGGACAACCAGGCCACTGCTTCTGAGAGGAAACGGTGCTTACTGGTACAAAACAAATCTTGTTTTTTAAAAAAACGATGGGCTGTCCCACAGGATGGAGGGAACAGGGTGGATGTGTGTCCCACCACTCCTCCCCTCCCCTCCCAACCAAACATCTGTCATAAATTCTTTCCAATTTCAACAAACAACTTTTTAAAAATCTCAAAGCTTCTAGACTATGTCCTGGTTCTTGGCTCATATGCCCTCAGCAACGTCACAGCATTAAAAGGAGATAACCCATTATTCTTCCGTATCCCACTCCCAGCAATTAAATATCTATATCCGAAATAACACTGCTCTTAAATGCTCTGTACATCACATCTATTTCGAAAATTTCATGTTGCAGTCTCAGTCATTTTCTTTCTTAAAAAAAAAGAAAAGACAACTGTATGATGAAGAGGTGAGTTTTGACCTCTCACTGGAATTAGGAAGCACAGGTCTGGGATTAGTGCAACAGGTTCCAGGGCAGATGGTCAAGGGGATGCTGAGGTGTGTGAAGATGCCACCAAAGCCTCCCTGCCCTGCCAGGTGCCTCCAGAGATGCTTCTCAGCCTAGAAAACAAAGACCTGAGAAAAAGAAGACGAGCCCTACTCCACTTGTTTCGTGCGCTAGTGAATTGTCAGTGTTTCTCAATGTGATATGTCACAGTTTATCTTCCTCCCAAGGGGCTTCGGGCGAGCCCCCCAAGGTGGCTAGACCTTCTCCATCTCAATCTGCTGGTGGTAGTGACCAACCTGCCGCTGGCCAACATTCAGCTTGTACACGGAGCTCCTGTGCTGGCACCTGCGGTAACCCCACACGGCCCCCATGCCTGCCAGGAACAGAAGCAGGCACAGAACCGTGACAATGGTGGCAATGATGGGGCCTCTGCTGAGGCTGCGACACTTATCCCCTACGCAGGACTCCAAGGTTGGAAGAAGCTCCTCGCTTGCACCTGGGCCGGGGACTTCCTGTCCCAGGAAGTCCTCAGACAGCAGGTATGGAAAGGTATCCTGGACCTCAGGGGCAGTGATTTCCACTGGAGTCCGGGTGGCCGCCGTGACAGTTGAGGGAATGAGGTTCGATGTCTTGTGGATGGCGGTTGTCACCGTCTCCAGGATAGAGCTGGTGAGCTCATAGGGTAGGGTGGACATGGGAGGCTTCTCTGTGGCATATCTCCAAGGAACAGTTGACTGGTCCCTGGTCAAGTCACCATCCCCCTTGCTGGGACTCTCAGTTTCAGACACACTCATGGGTCTGAGAGCCAAAGCTTCTACATCTAGAGTTTGAGTTGGAAGAACTGAACGGTTGGTTGTGTCCTCACTGAGTGTGAGGGTGGTACTCCTGGGCTTCTTAACTTCCACAACAGCAGGCTGATTGGGTGTAACTAGGAAGGTTTCTTCCAGCCCTACTGATCGATTGCCCTTGTCCTTCTCTTCCTCCTCTTCTGCCTCTGTCTTCCTCCAAGCCCCATCGGTCACAGGGTAGCCATCTAACCAGGACTCATCGCTGCTGCTCACCATTGGGTCACCTGCCTTGCTGTCATTCCTACCCACAAATGGCCCCAAGGGACCATCAGTGCTGCTGTAGATGACCCTAGTTTCTTCTGGCTCACCTGGGGCCAATGTGGTGCCACTGTGGTTGTCTCCAGCAGGAACCTGCTTTTTGGTGTCCTCGTCCATCTCCTTTTCCAACTCAGGCTTGTGGAAGGTCTCATCAGGAAACCAGAACATGTACTTCTGGTTTTGTTGGGATCCTGGCAGGTCTGTGGGGACACTGCTCCCAGTGCTGGGCAAACCTGTGGTTGGCGCAAAAGCTGTATCCTGGGCTGTGTCTTCTCTCCCCACAGAAATAGAGACCAGATGGTCCTGCTTTGGAGCCTCCTCAGAGGCTTCTCCCTGACCCCTGTCCTCCTCTGCCTCTGTCCGGGAATCTTCCATGAGCTCTCTGAATGACACAGATCTGTCATCAGGAAAATTATCTTCATAGTCAATATGTACCTCACCCTCATCTGGAAGGAAAGAGGGAAAAGCCTCATTAAGTCCGAGGTCACAGAGCCAGCGTGGAACACAGAAAGGGAAACCAAAAGCATAAAGACTGGAACAAATGAAATAAAACTGTTATTCTCAGATGCTATGACTGTATCACAGATAAACCCAAAGAACCTATATACAAAGTGTTAAACAAATTAACAGGCAAGTTTATCAAGGAAACTGGGTCTACAGTCAACATAAAACATCAACTGTATCTCTATATACCAGCAATAAACAGAAAACAAAAAATTCAAAAGATACCATTTGCCATAGCATAAAAAAAACCCAGACTCCTAGGAATAAATCTAACAAAAATGGGTAAGATTTCTACATAGAATGGTACAAAGTATTTCTGAGCAAAATTAAAGAAGACTTAAGTAGTGAAGGGCTATCCTATGTTAGTACAATGGAAGTGTAATTGTTAAGCTGTCAATTCTGCCCAAATTGATCTATGTAGATTTAATACAATCCTAATAAGTATCTCAGACATTGACAAGCTGATGCTAAAATTTATGGAAATGCAGAGGGCCAAGAATAGACAAGGAAAAAGAAAAGTTGGGGCATGCAAACTACAAGATTTCAAGATTTACTATAAAACTGGAGTACTTTTTAAGACTGTGTGTGGTATTGGCACAAAGACAGACAACCAAATTACATTAACTTTAAGAACTTCTGTTCATCAAAAGCCACCACGAAGAGAGTTAAAATGCAAGCCACAGAGTTGAAGATAATTGCAACACATATAGCCTCCAAAGGGTTCCAGAATTTATAAAGAACTCCTACAAATCAATAATAAATAGGCAGGGACTTCCCTGGTGGCATAGTGGTTAAGAATCTACCTGCCAATTCAAGGGACACGGGTTTGATCCCTGGTCTGGGAAGATCCCAAATGCCGCAGAGCAACAAAGCCTGTGCGCCACAACTACTGAGCCCGAGCTTTGCCGCAACTACTGAAGCCCGTGCGCTCTAGAGCCCGTGCTCCGCAAAGAGAAGCCACCGCAATGAGAAGCTCACACACCGCAACGAAGAGTAGCCCCTGCTTTTTGTTATGCATAACAAGTTTCTTTGACCATACCTGAGTTATGTTAATGAGGTGATTCTGTGGGCCCCTAGAGAGTTTCAGGTTGGGGGCTGGTTGTCAGAGGAACCAACCACGTGATTAGAGGGTTGGGCCTTTCAGCCCCACCCCCACCTAGGGAGAGGGGCTGGAGATTGAGCTGATCGCCAAGGCCAATGATGTAACCAACCATACCTACATAATGAAACCTCCATAAAAACCCTTAAACTACAGGGTTTCAAGAACTTCCAGGTTGGTGAATGTGTCCAACGTGCTGGGGAGGAATACACCCCAGGTTCAAGGGACAGAAGCTCCCGTTCTCGGGATCTTTCCAGACCTTGTCCTATGTACCTCTTCATCTGGTTATTCAACCTGTATCCTTGTAATATCCTTTATAATAAACTGGTAACTATAAGTAAAGTCCTTTCCTGAGTTCTGTGAGCTGTTCTAGTAAATTGTCAAACCTGAGGAGGGGGTCGTAAAAACCCCCAATTTATAGCCAGTTGGTCACAAGTCCAGGTGATCTGGATTTGTGATTGGCATGTAAAGCAGAGGCAGTCTTGTGGGACTGAGCCCGTAATCCATGGGTTCTGCACTAACTCCAGGTAGGTAATGTTAGAATGGAATTGAACTGTAGGACGCCCAGCTGGTGTCCAGAGATTTGCAAAATTGGTTGTTGGTGTGAGGGATCCCCCTCCACTGCCCCCCACCTCACCACATTTGGAGTCAGACGTGTTCTGCAGGTGGAAACAAAGCTCAGGAGTTTCCCCCTACTTCACTCTGCACCTTAAAAAGGGCAAAATGCAAAGATCTCCAGCACCAAGGTCTGGATGGAATGCTGAGGTGTGGTGTGTTCCTGGGCTCTGAAACTGGATTAGTGGGCATTTGGTTTATTTCTAATAAGTCTCCTTATCTTGCTTATTTAATGACTTGCAGAGTTATAAACACATTTAAAAATCCTTTCTGAACTGCTCCTAAAATTTAAGCCCATTCATTTTACTTTTCATTATTATATTTGTGATCTTTGATGTTACTACTATGACTCGATGAAGGCTACTTTGTAGATACTAAAACCCCCAGCAGGTGGAAGAAGTTAACTATATGGTGACCAGGCTGTAGCCATGACATAAGCTGCCACAATTCTTAGAACTGGCCTCAAAGAAATGGGAACAAACCGACTCTGGAACTGAAGATTAACTGAACCTAAAACAATCAAGATGATGGTGATCAGACCACCGCCTGACCAATTTCAAGAGGACGGTCAGAGCTGACTGTGCTGTTCCTGCATGTAGTCCCCACCCTCTGCCTATAAAAGCTCTTGCCCACTGATTGTCAGTGGGGGGAGTCGGTCTTTGGACAGGACACTGGCCTCCCCTCTCGGTTGCTGGCCTTTGAAATAAAGCAAACTTTCCTTTCCGTCAATCTTGCCTCTTTATTGGCTTTTGAGCGGCGAGCAGCTGGACCCACTTTAGGTTAAGTATTTGGCTCGCAACCTGAGGCTGGGCTCTCGCGATATCTGGCTCCCGGGTTTTCCCGACCAGAGCCGCCGCCATGAAGACTCGCCGGGACGGTTGCGAGGAGCTAGTTGCTCGTGACTCGCTGGCCCTGAGATGGGGTTTGGGGGGACGTTCATAGCAGCTGTCGAAACTATTTGTTTCGGGGATTCTCCCTGTTTCTTCCCAGCTCGGCACTGGCTGCCAGCGTATGCTTTCCCTTGGTGGAATGGAAAGATGCCTCTGGAAGAGCTGACGAGCTCCAAGACCGAGGTAAGTTCACTGGTGTGCACCCGGCAAGCTTCTCTTTTGAGCACCAAGTGCTATTTGGCATTTTGCCAATTGGTTCTGACGTGTGTCTGAGGTTGAGGACCGTCTGTGTTGGGAAGTGTTTGTTTAGGACTCCATATTGGTCATCCTGTCAGAGTATTTATGACAGTTCTGTCTTCTGGTGTGTGGACAAGTCCTCTCTGCCTTTGTGTCCCCAGCACTCAGCGTGGTGCTTGGCACATAGTAGACACTCTGGAAATATTTGTTGAATGAATAACCACGTGAATGAAGAGGTGAACAAGTGAGTGATGGAAGCCCGTTTTGATCAAGCTTGGTTCAGTCTGGAAGTCCGTCAGCCAGGGCATTATTTGGTGCATATGACAGTAGCAAAGAATGGTAAACAACCTCTTAGTCCTAGTACTGAGCATAATCAATGTGGGCTAAATTCCTTCTCCCATGTAACCCAGCCCATGAGCTTCAGAAGTCAAAAGGCACCTGGAATATGGGCAGAACGTGAGCCATTTTCTCCTCCCCCATACCTTCTTGTGCAGGAAATACTGGCCTAGCGTATAATGTTAGAGCTGGGGGTTTGGGATAGGTCAGCCCACTCTTGCCTGGTGGGCCTGCCTTGACCAGGACCCTTATGGCCAGTCTGAGCTGTGTGTGTGTGTGTGCGTGCGTGCGTGTGTGTATGTGTGTGTGTGTGTGTGTGTCTGCCTGTCCGTCTGGAGGTTCTGCCTTCAGAGCTCCCTGAGCCTAGAGCATCCCTGGATGGCAGCCCAGGGCCCAGAGCCAAGCTCTTCCTCTCTGCCCAGGTTCTCAGGTCAAGGTCTGGCTCAGAAACAGGCTCTCACTGTGTCACAGTTTCGCCAAAACCTCAAATGAAGACACAGACACCGACACCAGCTGTTTACAAAGAGTCTACTCATGACAAAATATCCCAAGCCTGTTTTTCCCTTCTTGAGTAACAGTAAAGTTTGTTGCTCACTGAATGTCAACCCAAAATTACACTCTGCCTCAAGGTGGGGAACATCAGCCCTTTGCCTGCTGAGGTGTAATTTCTCTCCCCTCCCTCTGCTCCCCTGAGTCTGCGCTCTCCTTAACCAACCCTCCAGCCCTCCCCTCCCCCACGCTCTCCTGAAAGCTGGGCTGGCACAACACTGGGCCTTCTGATTTAGACCAACGGGTCCAGGAAATGTAAACTCCATGGGCTCTCTTGGCAAAAACCAAGTCATTCCCTGTGTGTTTAGATTTAATCGTTACTTTAGGAAAACCAAAGACTACACATCAATAGAAATCAGGAGTAAAAAGAAAAGGGTCGCCCAGGTCGTGCCTTTATCAGGGGCAGAAGTATACAGGCCGGGGCCCAGAACCCTGGGCTCTCCCAGTGCTGCCATTTTTCATGTTGTTGCATTTATGGAAGCCCACGCATGCCTTCTTTTTCCCTCTGGTCTTGGCTACACAGCCTTTAAAAATAGTAATTTTGAAAAAGACAACCAGACAAGCCAGAAATAACCACTGGTTCAATGAACCTCTGAACAAATATGGCAATATTGACAAAGAAATTCTAAATTCAGTCCAGTCTCTGGCTTTTACTCTATGAAGGAAGTCTAGAAGATGGAGAAAAACAGAAATGGAAGTTAATTTAAGAAAACAAAAGATGGGCTTTAGAAATGAGGGAAAATAGCAAAGGAACTTAGTGAGGGAACAGCTAGTTTACAAAGCAAGCCCTGATGCTTTTTAGAGGCCCCTGGAGAAGCACACAGCCATCATAAAGATGTTGGAATGAGACGTGCCTGGTTTTAATCTTGGCTCTGCTTTTTTTTTTTTTTAATAATTCTTTTTTTATTTTTGGCTGCTTTGAGTCTTTGTTGCTGTGCATGGGCTTTCTCTAGTTGCAGTGAGCGGGGGCTACTCTTTGCTGTGGTGCGCAGGCTTCTCATTGCGGTGGCTTCTCTTGTTGTGGAGCACAGGCTCTAGGCGCGCGGGCTTTAGTAGATGTGGCATGCAGGCTCAGTAGTTGTGGCTCGCGGGCTCTAGAGCACAGGCTCAGTAGTTGTGGCGCACGGGCTTAGTTGCTCTGTGGCATGTGGGATCTTCCTGGACCAGGACTCGAACCCGTGTCCCCTGCATTGGCAGGCAGATTCTTAACCACTGCGCCACCAGGGAAGTCCCTTGGCTCTGCTTCTTTCTGGCTGTCTGACGCAGGAAGTTACTGAACCTCTCTGTCCCTCAGTTTTCCCATCTATCAATTGGAGCTGGCCATTTCTACTTTCATACTTGTGAAGATGAAATGAGATAAAGTGTATAAAACTCCTCTTACAGAAAGGAACATGAGGAGACTTGGGGAAGATGAAAATGTTCTGTGTTTTGGTTCTGGTGGTGGTTTCATGGGTGTACAGATCTGTGACAACTCAGAGACTTTTATATTTTAAATGGTTACTGTTTATTATATGCAAATTAAACCTCAGGAAAGTTCTTAAAAAAACAAAACAAGAACAAAAAACAACTCCCAAAACAGAGATGACATGGAACAGGTTTGGCATGGTTTACGACGGCTCTTTTCTCAGTGCCCAAATGGGGAATGGGTCTTGTTTCCATAGCTGCAACAGACCAGGGAAGGGAAAAGGAATAGCTGTCCATTTGTTGTTGGACTCAGAGGTGGCAGGGCTGGTAGAGTGAGGTCAAGCTTGGTGTCACTCACTTTCCTGATACTACAGACCAGAAAGCACAAACAGAACCATGGAGCTCGGAGTGGAAAATCTTAAAGGCTTTTCAGAGCCTGTCTTAGCAGATACCCTTTGTCAGGGCAAGTTGTCTTTTTTTTGGCCACACCATGTGGCATGTGGGATGTTAGTTCCCTGACCAGGGATTGAACCTGTGCCCCCTGCAGTCGAAGCTCAGAATCTTAACCGCTGGACTGCCAGGGAAGTTCCCAGGGCAAGTTTTAAAGGAGGATCAAGGGGCAGGTCAGAGAGCAAGGGTCTATGAGTCTCTCCCTTCCTGGGGTAATTGCAGACCAGGGTGGAGGCCATAGGACCACCGGGTGCTGAGTCAGAAGAGGGCAGAGCTGTTGAAGGCAGTGAGCACCCAGGACAGCAAGTAGGGGAATGGTCAGTGTGCCCAGGGAAGCACGTGTGGCACCATGGTCACATGGCCAGGGGTGGCCACTCGGAGTGCTGGGAGGTCAGAGACTATCTAGGGTACAAGTGGCCAGAGATGGATATGGCCTTGAAGATATGGGACTTGGTATAATAAGAAGCCCAAAGAAAACCAAATATAGCATGGAAATCTGCGCACATGCGTAAGGAGCAAAGCACCAGGACTTTTCTATTATTAGGGCAACAGCCAACCATAGTTGGATACCAAGAACATTAGAGAGGTATGACAAACATTTCGTGCTGCCCAACTGGGAATGGAAACCAACTGTGGATTCGGGTAGGAGAATGGGAAATAAAATGGCCAGACCCAGACCTAGACTCTAGGAACCAAAGCTAGAGAAGTACCAACACGCAGAGGGGAGAAAATGGCAGTTTAAGAAGTCCCCACCCATTCAGTTTGATGGTCAAGGCTAAAGTCCCTGTGCTAAGTGAGAGATTTCACCAGCACCACTTGAGGCTGGACCATAAGGTCGAGGTGAACATACAACCTGGGTGGGCAGTGTGTGCCTGAGGCACCCTCCTGCACTGGCCACTCACTGACCACCCAGGTGGGCGTGCCCCTGTGCATTCATGCCTGCTCACCATTCAAAGTTTAAATTTCATCATGCTCATTCAGGCAGTCTCCACTTTACTAATTTTTCTTTAAACCACTGCTCTCCGGAACTGATGCTTTAATAAGCAACTAAGTTCTCCACTGTAGTGGATGCTGTCGGTGCTCATGTCCCCTTTCCCAGACCAGTGCACCCATCCCCCAGCTGCTGTGAGCGACGGCAGCTGAGGGTTCACAGCTGCCACTCCTCTGGAGGACTGCCCTTGGAGGAATGGGAGCCTCAGTTAGGGCGGTTGCAACCCGCCTTGCCCTCCGTGCACAGCAGCCTGCAGCCAACGACAGACTAATATGGAGGAACTCAGGCCGGTCCCCTTGCTTCCAAGTGGGACCAACCCTGTGGTGCAATTCATGCTCCCCAGCTCCCCAAGGGATCAGGCAAAGCAAGGATCCAGCTGAGGCCACATCCTTAACTCCACCCTCTCACCTTCCCTGCCTCCCTTATTCCCTTTCTCCCTCAACAAGCCATGGACATCTGAACAGGCTCTGCTTTTAGAGAATCTAACCCAAGTCATCTAGCCAGTCTTCAAGATGCCCAAACAGTGACAAATTTGAGTAAAACAGTCTTCCTAGTAGCCCTGAGCTCCTAAGCTCCAGCTCATTCCTGTGCTCGCTGCAGTTCCACCCAGGTGCATCCCACTCCCCAGCGACACACTGAAAACATAAGGCTACCAGAACCTTCGTAGGCTGTGAAACCAGTGCACACTTTTTAGCTTCCATTGACTGGACCTGTGCAGCCTTTGAGCACTTTTCCCACCTGGGAACACACACTTCCTTTAAAATTTCACCTGGGACACCTCGTTTTCCAGCTTTCCCTTTTACCTCATCATCTACTGCTTCTCTGTCTCTCCTAAGGTATTCAGTTTACTAGTTTCCTTTAGGGTTGGGACAGTTTTGCTCAACGTTGATTACACAGTACCTGGGACCCTGCCAGATGAAGGGAGGGGGACAGAGTGAATGAATGAATGGCCAGTAGGCCGTAGAAGGAATGTTGTTGTCCAAACCAAGATGGGTCCAACTCCAAAACCCTTGTTCGGCCCACCCTCTCAAGATGACTTTTCTCCAACTGAAGCAGTTCCTTAATCAAAACAAGTTGGTGTTCACTGGAAAAATACATGTAAGGTGGAGTCAAACACCTGGTGACAATGTTCTTGTAACACACACACACACACACACGCACACACATTTATAATAACACAGATACTTTAAACGTTAAATCTATAGAGCAATGAAAACTATAATGGTCTGTATATTCAGCTAAGTGTAGAAACCAGAATTTCTGCCCAGCAGCTGAAAGCTCCAACGACTCTGCTTTGCGGTGAGAAAGCAAACACCATTTCAGACACACAAAACCTTCATTTAGTTCTCATTCTACTGAGGCCAGTAAACAACCCCTTTGAGTGGTGGACGTGCCTCGTGGGATGGTGCAGCCTCGGTGCCTCGCCAGAAACACAGCCAGCCCACTGACACCTCAGGGTGAGCCTGGGTCTGCTTTGAGGCGACACATGCAACAAGCAGGAAGTCAGGTCTTATGCCTCTTTTCTCAGACAGGTGAATCCATCGGAACTGGCAGCAGCTCCTGCCTGTCACAAAGCAGCAGCAACAGAGGAAAGTTCTAGAAAATGGCTCAAATTGTGTTTCAGGGACTTGTCCCACTCTGTAACTTTGTTATTAGTATGTGACAAGCAAGTAGGAAGTTTTTAGAAGCTTTTGTAACAATTTGACAGGGGAATTTTATGTCTATTTAAGGAAAATTTTTATATCTAGAATATCTTTCCTTTAGTTTTATGCTAACTCATTTTTATTGCATTTTTACTAACGTGTCAGTCTATCAATAACAAGAAAACAAAGTTTTAATTGTGCACAGAGAGTTTGAGACAACAAAATCTCACTATTCATCAAAAAACACTCCAAGAGGAAAAAATAAGCCACAGAATGAGAGAGAAAATTTCAACACATTAAGAAAGTTTTCGTAAAAAAGAAATCCAACATTAACATAAATAATCAAATCAGTTAGAGAAATGGGCAAAAATCTTGGACAGACACTTACTGAGTAAATGCTAATAGTATCTGATTAGATAAGTGCTTGGGTAGAGACATGGGTTTTACAGGTCACCATGGAGTAGTCACCAGATTGGTGAAAAGGTAAAAAGTCTCACAATCCTGAAGGTTGGTGAGGATGCTGGAACAGAGCTCTTATACACAGCTGGTGGGAGAGTAAACTGGTCAAAACACTTTAGAAAACTCTCCACGTAAGCTGGACACACACCTACCCCATGGGCAGCAACTCCACTGCCAGGAACCAAAAGAAATGTGTTCACATGTGAAACGAATGATGTGGAGGAGAACGATCACCGCAGCGTAAATTTTCGACAGTCACAACCCGAGAACAAGCCAAATGACCACGAGCAGAAATAATGGGTGGTGTATTCACACTATAGATAGTAAACTGCAATGAACCCAAAAAACCACAGCTCAGGCAACAACATGGATGAAGCTCACAGACAAGACAGCACCATAGTCTCATCATGGTTCTCCCATAGGATCTGCCGGACATTCTGGGGACCAACCGTCCTATAAATTCAGTAACATTGTGGTGCTGGAGTCATCCCCCTCTATAGCGGCAACCTCCACTTGGGACCCAGGGGTCATGGGGGATCAGGAAGGTGGGCTCTGAAGGAGTCTTGGGGAGAAAGGAACCCTGTGAGGTCAGGGAACAGTTCAGGGTCTGGCATGAGGTCCATGGTGTAGGAGTCATAGGAGAGAGTGATTTCTGCCATTGGGAGAATTCCCAAGGGGGCTGGGCAGGGGTGGGATGCAGAAACCTCGCCCCCAGGCATACGATGATGATGGAATGGGGACATCTGGGGGAATCAGATCAAGTTTCGGGAGCTAAATGCCCAACAGGAGTCTTTTTAACCTCAGCTATAATTTTATTCAGACTCACGGGGCAGCCCAGGGAGTATAGCAAGACAGCAGGGCAGCAGCAGAAAATTCCCATCAAGAGGAGCGGTCCATACAGCTGTCCTGGAGTTATTTTCCTGCTTACCTTTCCCGCAGGCCTGGACCAGGCCATACCACTCCCCGCAGCTGTTGCACAGCAAGGTGAAGGCTGTTTCGCGCCGGCCTGTCACGTGGCCGGGGGCGCAAAGGTACAGCAGCTCATCCCCCATCTCCAAGCCCGTGTGGCCCTGCAGGATGGTGTGTGGGAAGGAAGGCGGGTCTCCACACGGCTTCTCTGAGGACAAGGAATCACAATAAGTTTTCCCAAACTCTGCAGAACTTTTTCAGCCTGGGAGGAAAAAACAAACTTAAAAAACAACCCCTTGAGACTTCCCTGGTGGTCCAGTGGTTAAGAATACGCCTTCCAATGCAGGGGACGTGGGTTCGATCCCTGGTCGGGGAACTAACATCACACATGTTTTGGGGCAACTAAGCCCATGCGCTCTAGAGCCCACGCACTGCAAAGATCCTGCATGCTGCAACTAAGACCGGATGTAGCCAAGTAAATAAATACTGAAAAAAAAGAAGCCAGTAGAGGAAGTAAAATGGAATAATATAAAATATTGGGTTAATCCAAAAGGAACGGAACAATAGAAGAGGAAAAACAAAAAGCAACCCCCTCTCCCCCATGGGTGTTGCCTGCACCTTAACCTGAGATCTCCTTCACCCTGGCATCCCCAGGACCTGGCAGAATGCCTGGCGCAGATGAAGCACTCAAAAAATACTTATTGAATGAATAAAAGTGCTACAACTTTGTGTTTTTATTTATTTTTTTAAAAAAGATTTATTTATTTAGCTGCATTGGTCTTTGTTGCAGCGCTCGGGTTTCTCTCTAGTTGTGGCATGTGGGCTCCAGAGCGTGTGGGCTCAGTAGTTGCGGCACACAGGCTCTCTAGCTGTGGCCCACAGGCTTAGTTGCCCTGCGGCATGTGCGATCTTAGTTCCCCGAACAGGGATCGAACCCACGTCCCCTGCATTGGAAGATGGATTCTTAACCACTGGACCACCAGGGAAGTCCCACAACTTTGTATTTTTAAATTGCCAGGCAATATTATCCTCTAATGTCACCTTGAAAGGCAGACCCAGAGACACTGCCCAGCAGCAAGTGGTACTCTTTGTGAAATGCTGAAATATTACAGACTGTAGAGTAGAGGATGCCTCTCCCCTCCCCCAACCTCGACCCTGATGGTAACACTGTTACCGGTTTGGTATTTACAAATAAATACTGATGGAGATGCACATACTACATGTGTAGCTGTGTGTGTGTGTGTGTGTGTGTGTGTGTTATATTTTTATTGGAGTAGAGTTGCTTAACAATGATGTGTTAGTTTCTTGCTGTACAGAAAGGTGAATCAGTCATACATATATCCACTCTTTTTTAGATTTCTTTCCTATTTAGGTCACCACAGAGCATTCAGTAGAGTTCCCTGTGCTTACAGTAGCTTCTCATTAGTTATCTATTTTATACATAGTAGTGTATATATGTCAATCCCAATCTCCCAACTTATCCCACCCTCTTCTTCCCCGCTTGGTAACCGTAAGTTTGTTCTCTACATCTGTGACTCTGTTTTTGCTTTGCAAATAAGTTCATCTCTACCATTTCTCTAGATTCCACATATAAGCGATAATATATGATATTGTGTGTGTGTGTTAACATAAAGAGGATTATATCATATTTATTACCGAGTGCCTGCTTTTTAAAAAACTAATAAACTAAGTTTTGGAGCAGGTTTAGGTTCACAGCAGAATTGAGTGGAAGGTACAGAGATTTCCCATGTTCCCGTCTCTACCCAGGCACAGCCTTCTCACTATCCTCTACCACAGTGGTACATTTGTTACAATCCATGAGCCTACATTGACATGTCATTACCTCTCAAAGGCCACAGTTTACATTTGGGTTCACTCTTCATGTTCTACAGTCTATGGGTTTTGATTGTATAAACCCAATCTATGGGTTTTGAATATATAATTACATACATCTGCCATTGTAGTATCATACAAAACAGTTTCACTGCCCTAAAAATCCTTTGTGCTACACTTATTCATTCCTCCTAACTCCTGGCAACCATTAATCCTTTTACTGTCTCCATAGTTTTGCTTTTTATAGAATGTCATATAGTTGGAATCATACAGTACATAGCCTTCTCAGACTGGCTTCTTTCACTTAGTAATAAGCATTTGTTTCCTCCATGTGTTTTCAAGGGTTGATAGCTTATTTCTTTTTAGCACTGAATAATATTCTATTGTCTGGAAGTGCTGACAGTTTATTTATCCATTCACCTACTGAAAGACATCATGGTTGCTTCCAAGTTTTGGCAATTAGGAAAATAAGCTGCTAATAAACATTCATGTACAGGTTTTTGTGTGAACTTAAGTTTTCAGCTAATTTGGGTAAATATCAAGAACTGTGATTGCTGGATCGCATGGTAAAAGTATGTTTAGTTTGGTAAGAAACTGCCACACTGTCTTCCAAAGTGGCTGCACCATTTTGCACTCCCACCAGCAATGAATGAGAGTTCCTGCTGTTCCACATCCTTGTCAGCATTTGGTGTCATCAGTGTTCTGGATTTTGGCCATTCTACTAGATGTGTAGTGGTAAATCATTGTTTTTTGCTTTTTTGTTTTAAATTAATTAATTTATTTGGCTGTGCTGTGTCTTCGTTGCTGCACGTGGGTTTTCTCTAGTTGCGGCGAGCAGCAGTTACTCTTCGTTGCGGTGCACGGGCTTTTCATTACGGTGGTTTCTCTTGTTGTGGAGCACGGGCTCTAGGTGTGCGGGCTTCAGTAGTTGTGGCTTGCGGGCTCTAGAGCGTAGGATCAGTAGCTGTGGCGCACGGGCTTAGTTGTTCTGCAGCATGTGGGATCTTCCTGGACCAGGGCTCGAACCCGTGTCCCTGGCATTGGCAGGCAGATTCTTAACCACTGCACCACCACGGAAGTCCCTCATTGTTGTTTTAATTTGCATTTCCCTGACGACATATGATGTGGAGCATTTTTTCGTATGCTTACTTGCCATCTGTGTATCTTCTTTGGTGGGGTGTCTGTTCAGGTCTTTTGCCTATTTTTAAATTGAGCTGTTCATTTTCTTAATGTTGAATTTCAAGAGTTCTTTGTATATTTTGAATAATAGTCCTTTAGTAGATATGTCTCTTGCAGATACTTTCGCCAGTCCGGGGCTTGCCTTTTCATTCTCTTGACACTGTCTTTTTTTTTTTTTTTTTTTTTTTTTTGACACTGTCTTTTGCAGAGCAGAAGTTTTCAATCTTAAGTAAGTCCAGCTTAACAATTACTTCTTTCATGTATTGTGCCTTTGGTGTTGTATCAAGAAAGTCATCACCATAAACAAGGTCATCTAGGTTTTCACCTGTATTATCTTCTAGGATATTTGTAGTTTTGCATTTTACATTTAGGTCTGTGATCCGTTTTGAGTTAAATTTTGTGAGGGGTGTAAGGGCTGTGTCTAGGTTCTTTTCTTTTGCATGTGGATGTTCAGTTGTCCCAGCACCTATATTAAAAAGACTATTTTTGCTCCATTGTATTGCTTTTGCTCCCTTGTCAAAGATCAGTTAACTATATTTATGTGGGTCTATTTCTGGGCTCTCTACTCGATTCCATTGATATTTGTCTGTTCTTTCACCAATACCACACTGTATTGATTTCTGCAACTTTATGTCTTTTAAAATTTAATTTTAAAAAGATTTTATTTTATATTGGAGCATAGTTGATTAACAATGTTGTGTTAGTTTCAGGTGTACAGCAAAGTGACTCAGTTATACATGTACATGTATCTATGCCTTTTCAGATTTTTTTCCCATTTAGGTTATTACAGATTATTGAGCAGAGTTCCCTGTGCTACACAGTAGGTCCTTGTTGGTTATCTAATTTAAATATGTGTATGTGTCGATCCCAAACTCCCAATCTATCCCTCCCTCTAGGTAAGTCTTGAAGTTGAGTCATGTCAGTCCTCCAACTTTGTTCTTCTTGAATTATGAGTTAGCTATTCTGGGCCTTTGTCTCTTCCTATAAAATATAGAATTAGTTCATATCCACAAAATAACTTGCTGGAATTATGACTGAGATTGCATTGAATCTATAGATCAAGTTGGGAATAACTGCAGTGGGATTATCTGGGCTGCCCAGCAGCTACTCGAGCCCCCAGGGATGTTCCAAACCCAACTCATTCTCTGAAGCACTAGGACAAGGGCTCACCCAGAGCTAGTCTCCCCAGAACCACTGGTATCTCAGATTTGTAGCCCATGCTCCAGCTGTTTTCTCTGCAGTGTCCTCTTCTCCTTTCCCTAACCATTATCCCCACAGAAAAAATCCTTCAAATTCCACCTCAGCTGCCACTGCCTCAGGAAGTCTCCCTTCCTCCTCTGTGCCATGGAAACTCACTCATCTCTTACTTGTCCTTATACACCATCAACTCTTTGAGGGTGGAGAGGAGTCCTCTCTCTCTCTCTCTCTCTCTCTCTCTCTCTCTCTCTCTCTCTCTCTCTCTCTCTCTCTATCTATCTATCTATCTATCTATCTATCTATCTGAAGCACCCACAAGTCTGAGCCCTGCTTTGCATTACCCTGGACAAATAAATGAAAAATTGGCCAGTGCCAGGTCAATGGTAATGAGTGCAGACTCTTCCACACTCCCTTGGGAGACCCTGAACTGGATAAGTTCTATCAGCTGCTCAAAGCATTGCAGTTCATTGGTTCCAGTCTCCCATAGTTGCTGGAATTTCCCCAAAGCTGATCTTGAGGCACAGCGCCTCCTCAAGCAGATCTGGGAGGTGGCTACTCTCAAAAATTCCTGCTCACCTGAGAGGTGAGCATTCAGTTCTCTTTTAACTTTTGGCCACACTGCAGCTTGGGGGATCTTAGTTCCCTGACCAGGGATCGAACCTGTGCCCCCTGCAGTGGAAGTGTGTAGTCTTAACTACTGGACCACCAGGGAAGACCCTCAGCTCTCTTCTTGAAGACATAAAGGAAGGGAATCATTCCATTTCTATTTTTAAGGGAAATACAGGTAGGAGTAACGTATGCAGGGGAGGTGAAATACAGTGCTAAAAAGGTGAGGTGGGCTGGCGGGGAGAGCAGCCAGGCCAGCCCTGGCTTAGAGGGGGAGAAACAGAAGCACACCCTTAGTGAGCCTTGGGTGCTACAGGGAGAAGGTGAGAGGAGACCTGAAGCCTCCAGACCCCACGCTGTTGACTCCACAGACAAGCTGCCAAGAGAAGCAGAGCCAGAGAACCCAAGTGGAGGCAGCTCATTTCATCAGCATCCAGTTGGTTAAAAATAATTTCACTTATTAAAGTGAGGTCACCACAGGGCTGGAAATTCACTGTCAGTGAAACAAAAATACTGAAAGGAAACAAGAGAAACGTCTACATTCATGATGAACTTTATTTCAAAAGAGAAACACAGGAGGCAGCTTCCTGAACATTCCACAGACTGTTTTCCTTCTGGGCTCTTTATGAGGCACATGTCTGCCATTTTTGGAGTTAGCACCCTTCATTCTTCCTGTCTTGCCAAAGAGAAGCAGCAGCCCAGGGCTAGGTGCAATGAAGCATCATCAGGAAAAAGGCAACCCTTAGAGGTGATACTGCACCTGGGTGTCTGCTGAACCAGACCTCACGTGCACTCCCCAGGAGCCTCTTCTTGGCTTCTTAACCTTCCTTTGGCACACAGATTTCCCTTGGTGAAGTATAGTTGCTTTACAGTGTTATGTTAGTTTCTGGTGTACAGCAAAGTGATTCATGTATATGTATATATATATATATATATACATACACACACACACACGTATACAGTAGGACCTTGTTGTTTATCTACTTTATATGTAGTAGGTTTTTAAAAAATATTTATTTATTTATTTGTCTGTGTTGGGCCTTAGTTGCGGCATGCAGGATCTTTCATTGTGGCGCGTAGGCTTCTCTCTAGTCGTGGCGTGCGGGCTCCAGAGCACGCGGGCTCAGTAGGTGCAGCATGCGGGCTTAGTTGCCCCACGGCATGTGGAGGTCTTAGTTCCCCGACCAGGGATCGAACCCGAGTCCCCTGCATTGGAAGGCGGATTCTTAACCATTGGACCACCAGGGAAGTCCCTATATGTAGTAGTTTTTATCTGCTATTTTATATATGGTAGTTTGTATATGCTGATAATCTCTAATTTACCCCTCCCCCACCCCCCTTCCCGTTTGGTAACCATAAGTTTGTTTCCTAAGTCTGTGAGTCTGTTTTTATTTTTGTAAATTAGTTCCTTTATATCATATCTTAGATTCCACATATAAGTGATATCATATGGTATTTGTCTTTCTCTGTCTGACTTACTTCACTTACTGTGATAATCCCTTGTTGACTGTCTACAAGGCTCCCCTGAGGAAAAGTGAAGAGCCATTTGGGAGCCATTTACATGCTCTTTCTAAAGAAGGAAAGGCAGAGGAACAGGGACAGGGCTGTCTCTCTGAGGGATCATGGGGAATCCATCCTGCTTTTCTGGAAAGTCCGAGAGAGAGCAGCCCTCTGACCCTAATCCCACCTCAGCATGCATTCCTGAGCCCCTTCATCACCCATCTGAAGCCTCCTCACAAGTCAGGCCCTGTTGGACCAAGACTCCAGTTTTCCCCACGCAAGCCTCTCCATGTTGACCTGGAGGGGAGGGGAGGGGGGCAAGCTAGGCTCAGGCAAATTGCCCTGGATGCGGGGCTCTTGAGCGCTTTGACTCAAAGACACCCACACAGGGCTCACTTGCTAAAATGGCATCAGTCCTTACATAAGCTGATAGGCATCATGGATTTGCTTCATGTTTTTGTTTTTGCTTTGTTTTGTTTTGTGCTTTCCTGTTGTTGTTGTTGTTTTGGGAGGAGTATGTAGATCATTTGGGGGGAAATTTTCATTTTCATATAATTTCAAAGTTACAGAAAAATTAAAAAAATAAGGAACTCCCATAAACCCTTTATCCAGATTTACTAATGTGTGTTCATTTTGCCCCATTTGCTTTATCATATTCTCTCTCTAGATAGATATAGATATGTATATATATATATATAGAAAATATATATCATACATAAACACATATATGTGTATGTATACATATATGAATATGTATATCTATATCTGTAATTTTTTTTTTTTAATTTTGTCTGCTCTGGGTCTTTGCTTCATTGCAACACACAGGCTCTTCATTGCAGCACACGGGCTTCTCTAGCTGCGGTGTGTGGGCTTAGTTGTCCCACGGCATGTGGGATCTTAGTTCCCCAACCAGGGATCAAACCCATGTCCCCTGCATTAGAAGGTGGATTCTTAACCACTGGACCACCAGGGAAGTCCCTGTAATTCCTTTCTGAACCACTTGAGAATGAGTTGTAGATATGATGTCACTTTGTCCCTGAGAACCTTGGTATATATTTCCAAGAACAAGGATATTGTCTTACATAACTGCAGTAGTTAGCAAAATCAGGGAATTGAAGCATTGATACAATACTATTATCTAATTCAAATCCATATTTCATCAGATTTCATCAATTATAGCTGTTTTCTCCTGGTCCAAAATACAATCTAGGATCACAAATTACATTTAGTTGTTAAGTTTTTTTAGTCTATTTTAATCCAAAACAGTTGCCTTGCCTTTCTTTGTCTTTTTTTTTTTTTTTTCTGCACCACGAGGCTTACAGGATCTTAGTTCCCCAACCAGGGATCGAACTTGCGCCCCCTGCAGTGGAATTGCGGAGTCCTAACCATTGGACAGCCAGTGAATTCCCTCTTTCTCTTTCTTATCCTTGACATTTTTCTTTTCTTTTTTAAATTTAATTTATTTTTGACTGCATTGGGTCTTCGTTGCTGCATGCAGGCTTTCTCTAGTTGCGGTGAGTGGGGGCTATTCTTCCTTATGGTATGCAGGCTTCTCACTGCGGTGGCTTCTCTTGTTGCGGAGCATGGACTCTAGGTGCACGGGCTTCAGTAGTTGTGGCTCGTGGGCTCTAGAGTGCAGGCTCAGTAGTTGTGGTGCGCGGGCTTAGTTGCTTCACGGCATGAGGGATCTTCCCGGACCAGGGCTCAAACCTTTGTCCCCTGCACTGGCAAGCGGATTCTACCACTGCACCACCAGGGAAGCCCTCCTTGACATTTTTAAAAGAGTATAGGCCAGTCATTTTGTACGATGTTTCTCAACTTGAGTTTGGCTAAAGCTTCCTCATGATTAGATTCAGGTTGCACATTTTTGGCAGGAATACTACTGAACTGAAGTTGTGCTCCTCTGAGTGCAGTATATCAGGAGGCACACCTTATTGGTTTGGCAATAACTCAGTTTTGGAGTCACTGTCATGGTTTTAAACTTGGTGCCCTATAGGATGTGAACAGATGTTTCCAAACTCTGGCTTCATGCACTACAGTTGTGGGCAAAGGGGCACACACTTGCATACACAACAACCTGTTTGAAGCCTGTGAGGTGGAAAGCCCAGGATCTCCTGTTGTATGATGAGGAACACATGGCTCAGTGCCTGCCCCCCACCCATCACCCCAGTCAACATCCAGCCAACACCCAGAAGCAAGGCCCCTACCCAGCAGCTGACTGCGGACTCGTGAATGAGCCCAGCTGAGGCCAGAAGAATAACACAAATTTTTGCCCTTCCCCCAAAATAGTGAACTAAACAAACAGTTGTTTTAAGCCACTACATTTGGGGGTGGTATGTTACACAGCAAAAGCTAGCTGCTACCTCTTGTTCATGGGAGGAAAGAGATCAGACTCAGAAGCTCCACGTATCCATTTGAGATCACTAAAGAAAGAAGGTCATGCTGGTTTTCCTCTGGCTCTGTCCTGTCTCCCTCAGGGATCTGAACCTTTCCTATGTTTGAGATTCAAAGGATCGTTTTCATTTACTTATGTGGTTTTTTAAAAAAACAAACCATGGATGTTGTTCTCCCCAGGGCTTTCCATGGCCACATCTTTCAGTTGCTTGACTGCAGTCAGCAAATGTAGAACCCTTCCTGGAGGGAGATGCCATGGCAGCAGAGAAGCCTACCGCCAATAAACATCTAACAAGCACCAGCCAGGGCTGTGGGGTTCACTGTGGCTCTTTGATTTACCAACTCCTCTGACCCCTTCCCTGGAGATTGGGATTTGGTGCCTCTGGAATGTAGCCTGAGGGTTTGCATTTCTAATAAGTTCACCTGGTATTTCTCATCATCAGAGAGCTTTGGGAAACTCTGCATTAGGGAACTCATTCTCAAACTGGGCTACATGTTATAGTCACTGAGCAGCTTAAAAAAAACCCAATGTCCAGAACATTTATATCCGAATCTCTAGGGCTGGCACCCAGGTATCAGTAGTTCTTAAAACTTCCCAGATGAGACCAGTGTGCAGCCTGGCAGTACCTGTGCTGATTTCTATGACTGATGAGTAAGCAGCTCGCTTTCTCCCCATTTTCATGGACATTCCCTTTCAGCAGCATATATTTCTGATAACGAAGGTGTACTTTTTCCAGTGCACATGAAACGCTGCCCTGGACACTCCTTTATGGTTTTCTCCTCACCACTCAGCTGATTTCCCAGAAGGAAGTCGTGTTTTTCTTTCTAGGAGCAGTTTCCTAAATCCTATACATTTCCTTTCGGGAAAAAAGGGTTTTTTTTCTTTTTAGAAAAATTTCCACCATGAAGACAGACCAAAGGGTAAGTGGTAGCAGCAGCTGCAGCACATGCTGTCGGGGGTCTGCCCATATCTCCTAGATCCCTTTACCACTCCCACGCACAGGGGCTCTGGGTGGGCATCTGTGCATCTCTGTTGGAGGGTGACTCAGCTATCACAACTCTTTGAGCACACTGAAAACCAGAAGAGTCTGGGAATTTATATCTCCCTGAAGCAGCCCTTAAACAATGACTGACAAGTTCAGTGGTATCAATACCCCTGTTCTCTCACCCCTGATCAGGAAACCGTGGTGACCTGTGGTCACTGTCTCCAGAGATTCCCTGCAGGATTGAGCCAAAGTTACCCCCCCCCCCACCTCACGGCCACTGTGGACTTTGCTTAGTGCTGCACCATTGCCTTCCCCCTTCCTTTCCCTGTCCACTTCCCCACTGCCATGTTGGCTTTTCTTTGGAAGTCTTCTTGATTCATGATGTTCAGTGAATCCTCATCTTAAGGTCAGTTTCTAGAGAACACAACCTAAGAGGTCAACCCCCACGAGCACACCCTCTGAAACCTTTACAAAGGCTCTGGCACTGACCTTCATCCTTAATACACAGGGCCTTGTATGTGCCACCAGGAACTGGGTTGCTTTCAATTCGCACATCGACAGCTCTCATGATTTGCTGTTCACCACTCCCCTTGCTACACATGGTTGTCCTAAAACAGACAAAGAAGACACTGGGTTAGGAGAACTAACCAAAACTGGGAAAGAATTCTTTTCTGCTGTCAGCTCTGAATCAGCAGAGATTTTCCTGATTCAGGAGTTTTGGCTGAAAGTACCATATGATAAAGTATCAATACTCTCCCCAGAAGTCTAAAAGCAGGAAGTTATAGGTGGTGCTTGAGTTGAGGTCACATATATCAATTAAAGATTAAGGGGCAATACATTGTTGATCTCTTTTAGTATATGCTTGGTTTTTATTTCATAAAATTCTCTTCTCTTTATTAGTTCTCTTCTTTTTGGGGGGTTTGTTTTGCTGTTATTTTCGGATTTCTTAAGATGGATCATTGGTTCATGAACCTTCAGCCTCTTTGCTTTTCTAACACAAGCATTTAACACTTTACATTTTCCTCCAGGTATAGCACTAGTGGTATCCCATGAGTTTGAGTATGTTATATTTTAATATCATTCATTTCTACATATATGTGACTTTCCATTATAATTTATTTTTGCCCCATGATTTAAGGATATCTTTTGTAAACAGCAAATAGTAGAACTTTAAAAAATCCACCTGATGGTCCTTGTTTTCTAATTAGAGCATCACATCTGCTTAATTTAATAACATCTCTTTGAATTTAAATCTGCCATATTTCTATTAGTTCCGCCCATTCTTCTTCCTTTCTTCCTCTCTTTTCTTTCCCATATTTTGATTGTTTGAATTCCTTTTTGGCAATCTCTTTTTCTTCTGTATTGGTTTGGAAGTTATATGTTCTTTTACTCTTCTTTTAGTGGTTACCACAGAGGTTATAACACTCTTCCTTGACTTATTAAAATTTAATGTTACTTTTTTTTTTTTGCGGTACATGGGCCTCTCACTGTTGTGGCCTCTCCTGTTGCGGAGCACAGGCTCCGGACGCACACGCTCAGCGGCCATGGCTCACGGGCCCAGCTGCTCCGCGGCATGTGGGATCTTCCCGGACCGGGGCACGAACCCGTGTCCCCTGAATCGGCAGGCGGACTCTCAACCACTGCGCCACCAGGGAAGCCCTAATGTTACTTTTACTCTCTTTCCTAACAACACAATTTAAAATACTATGTATTAACATACTTAAAACACTTCCTGACTGATATACCATTTTTTAGTGTTTAGTATTACTGTTACTGCTTTATATAATTATAGATCTTCCTCAACTTACAGCAGGGTTATATCTCCAAAAGCTCATTGTAAGTTGAAAATATGGTAGGTCAAAAATGCATATAACACACAAAACCTACTGAACATCAGAGCTTAGCCTAGCCTACCTTAAATATGCTCAAAACACTTACTTTAGCCTACAGCTGGGTAAAATCATCTAGCACAAAGTCTGTTTTACAATAAAGCATTGAATATCTCATGTAATTTATTGAATGCTGTACTGAAAGTGAAAAAGCAGAATGGTTGTCTTGGTACAGAATGGTTATAAGTGTATCAGTTGTTTACTCTCATGGTCACATGGCTGACTGGGGGCTGCAGCTTACTTCACTGCCCAGCATCATGAGAGAGTATCAGACAGTATATCACTAACCTGGGAAGAGATCAAAATTCACAATTTGAAGAACAGTTTCTGTTGAATGCATAATGTTTTTGCACCATCATAAAGTTAGAAAAAATTGTAAGTTGAACCACCGTAAGTCAGGGACCATCTGTACATAATTCCAATTCACCCCCATATTTACTTTTTCCACTCATCCCTTTTGGCATCTCCAGCCATCCACCTGCAATTATTTTCCTCCTGCCTGAAGAACACCCTTCAGTGTTGGGTTTTTTTTAGTGCAGATCATGTATGATGAATTCTCTCACCTTTTGTCTGTCTGAAAATTCTTTATTTTACCTTTATTCTTGGAAGATATTTTCGCTGGGTATAGAATTCTAGGTTGGCAGTAATTACCTTTCTGCACTTTGAGGGCCTCATTCAGTAGTCTTGGGGCTTTCACTGTCAGTTTATTGTTGCTCCTTTGAAGGTACTCTTTCTTATTATTACTTTTAATAGTTTTTCTTCATATTTGATTTTTACCAGTTTTACCATGTCGTTCCAAGTCGTGAAATTATTTTATGTATCCTACTCGGGCTTTGTAGGGCTTCTTGAATCTGTGCGTGGATGTTTTTCCACAGTTGTAGCTAAGTCTCATATTGCTTTTGCTTTGTCTTCTTTCTCTTCTCCTTTTGGAATTCCAGTTACATGCATCTTCTTTGCCTTGTACTCTTTCTTCTATATTTTCATCCTTTTTTCTTCTGTTCTTTATTCTGGACATCTTCCTCTGAAATACCTTCCAGTTCATTAATTTTCTCTTTGACTCTTAAAATCAGCTGTTAGATCCATCCATTAAGTTCTTAATTTCAGCTACTGTATTTTTCATTTCTAGAGTTTTCATTTGGTTATTTTTATACTTTTCAGTCTTCTGCCAAAATTCTCCTTTTTGTCTTTTGTATCTTTGAACATTTTAAAGAGTTCTTTTAAAGTTTGCATCTACCAGTGTTAACATCTAGAGTTTCTATTGGCTATTTTTATCTTGTTGCCTTGTCTCCTTATGTGACTGGTTATTTTATTTTGCTTGACAAATCCTATATTTGCTAAAATAGTTTGTGGAAATAAATTGTCTAGGATAATATTATTTTCCTCCAGAGAAGATTTTTAAAATCAGTTCTGCTACCTATCTGGAACACTGGAACTCTAATATCATCTCAATCCAAACTCATGGCTTCAGAGGATTCGACGCTATGCTGCAGCTCCTTTGAGGGCCTGTGTACTTGTTCCAGTTTACTATGACTCCTAGGGTACAGCCCTTCAGTGTTCCAACCCTAAGCAAAAGGATTCCCTTGGCCCCCACATACATAAAACCTGAATTCAAATCTCTGTTCTCCTAGTCCTATGAGGCTATATAAGTCGCTTCTCAGCTTTTCAGACACGCTTTATGAAATCTGTAAAAGCTCCCAGAAGACAAATAGCCCCAAATTCTAGATTCACCATTCTAGATCTCCATCTTCTAGATATATGTATGTACTGAATATAAAGTCATGGAGATACAGATCAGATCTATGTAGCTACTATGCCATCAATTGCAAGATGCGCCATGCATTTAATAATTAGGTTTTGGTGGGGAGGGGAGATAGCTGTGCAGGAAAGATGCACAGTGAAATGTCCATACTAATGGTCAGATACTTCTTGGTTCCAGAAACGTTAACATGGAACACTATTTTAATGTCATGTAGTAAATATATCAAGTAAGTGTGTTTACTTTAAAGAAATAGCATCTAAGGGAATTCCCTGGTGGTTCAGTGGTTAGGGCTCCACGCTCTTACTACTGAGGCCTGGGGTTCCATCCCTGGTCAGGGAACTGAGATCCCATAAGCTGTGTGGTGTGGCCAACAACAACAACAAAAATAGCATCTAAGCAAGTTAGAGATCCACTAACATGTCTTAACACCTTACAGGAAACCCAGAGAGGATAAACCTTTCCAATGACTCAGTTTCAATTTGTAATGCCTGGGAGACCTAAGCCTGGCTCCAAGCTGGCTCTTTAGAATCTTTAGAGTACCCTGGTTATCTGATATAATGATAGTGACAGAGTTATGAAAAATATCCACACTTGACTACGTTATGGAAACATGCATACGTGGGACATATTTTGTCTATTTAGGAACTTGGATGTGAAATATAAAGCAGAGAGGGCTACAATTCCAGATTCGCTGAAAAGCTTTGGAAGTAACCTCATTTGTTCTCTTTATTCAATTGCTGCTTTACATGTGGCACCTTTGGAGATGTGAATCAACATGGTTGCATGTGTTTTCTATGGCCATCTCCCAGCCAGACACCTTCAGGGTCATTATCAAGCAAAGTAGTTTTTGGAGCCCATTTGTTCTTTCACATTCCTGTGGCATGAAGGAAAACGTGGAGTGGCTCCTGCCTTCTCTGTTTATGACTAATGGAGTAGTTAACAGCACTAATGGGATGTTTTCTCCTAGCTGGCCACAGAATTACTTCTCCACAAGGATTCCATGGGTCAGGAATTCAGATAGGGCACAATGGGAAAGGCTTGTCTCTGCTCTGTAATGTCTAAGGCTGAGCTGGAAAGACTCGCAGGCTGCCTAAGTCAATAGCTGGGGGCTAGAATCACCTGGAGGCATCTGCACTCACATTTCTGGTAGTTAATGCTGGCTATTGGCTGGGACATCAGTTGGGGCTATTGGTGAGAGTACATACATAAGGCATTTCCATGTGGCCTGGGCTTCCTAGGACTTCATAGATAGCAGCTCAAAAGTAAGTGTCCCCAGAAATCTGACCATGGGTTTTTCCGACCTACCCTCAGAAGTCACACAGTATCACTCCTGCTGTATTCTACTGGTCGAGGCAGTACTATGCTGTCCCTGACTCACAGGGAGAGGACATAAACCCCACTTCTCAATGGGAGCAATGTGAAAGAATTTGTGGCCATATTTTATTTTATTTTTTAAAATTTATTTAACTTTATCATTTTTTAAAATTGATCTGATGACTCTCAACTTTTATTTATTTGGCCGCGCCACAGGGCATGTAGGATCTTAGTTCCCTGACCAGGGATCGAACCCGTGCCCCCTGCAGTGGAAGCGTGGAGTCTTAACCACTGGACCGCCAGGGAAGTCCCTCGTGGTTATATTTTAAAACCTCAATACCGTCTTCCTCTTCCTATGGATGCAGATGAATATCCACAGAGAAAAAGAGATAAAGAATATATATCAAATAGTTAAGAGTCATTACCTCTGAGGTGGGGAAGAAGAGAGAAACTCACTTTGCACTTTATATATATCTGTATTATTTGAAATTTTTACAAGCATTTTTTTCTTTTGTAACTTAAAAGGAAATTCAGAATAACAAAGAGGAAAAAACTGTGACAGAACTCCAGAAAAATGTTTTTATTAACATTTTTGTTTTTATATTTTGTTTAACATTTTGTTTTTATATTTAACTCAAAACAAGAATATACTGGAAGCCACAGCCCATTGCACTCTGTCTATCCTGGCACCTCTATTGAGCCCCGTATCAGCCCTGATGGCAAGGTGGGGTGAGTTGGCAGGAGAGCCCCCAGCTGGCCTGACTTACCCCAGGCTGCCGTCCGCCAGCCAGCCCGTGGTGCACACGGAGAAGGCACAGTCCCGCACCACCTTCCGCAGCTCGTCCGCAGACACCAGGTGAGCGCCTCTGCTCTTGCAGGAAAGCCGAGCGGCCTCTAGTTCCAGGCCCTGAGAGCCATTCTGAGACTCCAGCACAAAGAGCTTCCCTGTGTGAGGACAAGCATGGACACAGGCTGACTCTAGGATCCACGGGAATTTAGTCTCAGCAAACTCACCCTCTGGCAGATGCCCATCAGAACTGTAGTTTCCCACTTGCCTAAAGATCCAAGTGCAGCAACTACCTCACTGCATTTGTCCCTGGACTGTGATGATAGTTACACTGGTGTTTGAATCTATTTTTACCTGTTAACTTAAAAAAAAATTTAACTGCCTGTTCTGGCATGTTTATCTGGATAAGCCCTTCAAATCTTCCTTTTAAAAAGATGTTTAGCAGCATTATTTACAATTGCCAAGACATGGAAACATCCTCAGTGTCCATCAACAGATGAATGGATAAAGAAGATACGGTATACATATATAGTCTCAAGATAAGAGTGAACAAGGATAAAAAATATCCCCTTCCCTCATTCTCAAGAACTGTTGGATGAGCTGTCTTGGTGCTAGGAGGCCAAGTGCTAATCCTGATTTGGAATTGTAGTTCTAACAAAAATTTATGTCTAAGACACTTCAAGCCATGGATTTAGCTTAAAGTGGCCTGAGACTGACATTTATTCAGACACCTGATAGGAAAAATTGTAACTAACTCCTCTCTGGAGAAAAAAAACCCTTCATTTTATGCTTCAGGAAATCCCATACAAATACTTATTCAAAGGCTATGACCACCGAAGTAAAAAACAGTGAAGTGTACAAGGAAACAAGGCACCATGAGTGAGAAGCAACAGATACCACATGTAGCAGAAACTGACCTAAAAATAAGTCCAATACTGGTATTAACAGGCACAGATTATAGAACAGTCATGATTACTATATTTAAAGAAATAAAAGACAAATTTGAAAATATCTGCAAAGAATAGGAAATGATAAAAAGTGCTTAGCTGATCTGAGAAAAGCACAAAATAGGACTTTTAGAAATTAAAAATACAATGATAAATTTAAAATGCAATAAATATTTTTGGCTGAATATCAGACACATTTAAACAAAGAACTTAATCTTGAAAAAGAAAGCAGAAGGGGACTTCCCTGGTGGTACAGTGGTTAAGGCTCCATGCTCTCTATGCAGGGGGCCCAGGTTCGATCACTGGTCAGGGAACTAGATCCCACATGCATGCCGCAGCTAAGAGTTCACATGCCACAACTAAGGAGCCCATGTGCTGCAACTAAGGAGCTGGCAAGCCGCAACTTGTGAGCTGCAACTAAGGAGCCCACCTGCTGCAACTAAGGAGCCCACTTGCCTCAACTAAGACCCAGTACAACCAAATAAGTAAATATTAAAAAAAAAAGAAATCAGAAGACATCATCCAAAATGTAGTAAAGAAACAAGAAAAGATGGAAAATATTAAGATAATAAAGAGACATGAAGGAAAGAATAAGGATTTTTAAAAAATTAATTAATTTTTGGCCACGTTGGGTCTTTGTTGCTGCGTGTGGGCTTTCTCTAATTGTGGCAAGCAGGAGCTACTCTTTGTTGCAGTGCATGGGCTTCTCATTGCAGTAGCTTCTCTTGTTGTGGAGACGGGCTCTAGGCGCATGGGTTTCAGTAGTTGTGGCATGTGGGCTCAGCAGTTGAGGCTTGTGGGCTGTAGAGCACAGGCTCAGTAGTGTGACGCATGGGCTTAGTTGCTCTGCAGCATGTGGGATCTTCCCAGATCAGGGCTCAAACCCGTGTCCCCTATATTGGCAGGTGGATTCTTAACCACTGCACCACCAGGGAAGTCCCAAGAATAAGGCTTAACATATACTTTAATCAGAATTCCCAGAGAGGAGAGAAAAAAATGAGGTGGAAGTGATATCTGAAGACAAAATGCCTGTGAATTTCCTATAGAAATGATAAGTATTCCAATACATAGATTGAATAAGTTCAACAACAAATCCCAATATGGAAAATATCTATAAGTATATATATACCAGTGATGCTGCAAAATGGTAAAGACAAAGAAAATACAGTCAAAGCAGATAGAGAGAAGGGAGAGAATACTTTCAAAGTAGCAGCAGTTTGACTGCTGTCTTCTAAAACAATAGCAATGGAAGCAAGAATACACTTACTAGCAAAAAATAGCTGCAAATTTAGAATTCTATACTCGCTGAAAATATATTTCAAAGAACAAAGATGAAACAAATGTATTTTTTCAGATAAGCCAAAATCAAGGTGGTTTGCCACCACCAGATCCTCCTTGTAGGAAATAGTAAAAGAAGTATTTCAGGCAGAAAGAAAATTATTTGAGAGGCAAGATGGAATGGAAAGGGGGAAAAAATCAATACACAGTTAAATAAAAGTGAACATTGATTGTATAAAATGGCACCCAACAGCAGCAGAATACACATTCTTCTCAAGTGAGCGTGGAACATTCTTCAGGGTAGACCATGTGCTAGGCAATAAAATAAGCCATAATAAATTTAAAAGGATTATAATTGTACAAAGTATTTTCTCTAATTACTATGGGGTAGAATTAGAAATTAATAACATAAATAAATTGGGAAATTCATAAATAAATAGAAATGAAACCAAGCACTTCTAAATAACTGATGAGACAAGGAGAAATCACAAAATTAGAAAATATTTTGAGATGAATGAAGGCAAAACATGCTAAACCTTACGGGATGCAGTTAATACACTGCATAGAGGGGAATTTATAACTATAAATGCCCACATTAAAATAAGAAAAATTATCTCAAATAAAAATCCTATCACACCAGTCAGAATGGCCATCATCAAAAAATCTACAAACAATAAATGCTGGAGAGGGTGTGGAGAAAAGGGAACCCTCATACACTGTTGGTGGGAATGTAAATTGATACAGCCACTATGGAGAACAGTATGGAGGCTCCTTAAAAAACTAAAAATAGAACTACCATATGACCCAGCAATCCCACTACTGGGCATATACTCTGAGAAAACCATAATTCAAAAAGAGTCATGTACCACAATGTTCACTGCAGCTGTATTTACAATAGCCAGGACATGGAAGCAACCTAAGTGTCTATTAACAATGAATCGATAAAGAAGATGTGGCACATATATACAATGGAATATTACTCAGCCATAAAAAGAAACGAAATTGAGTTATTTGTAGTGAGGTGGTTGGACCTAGAGTCTGTCATACAGAGTGAAGTAAGTCAGAAAGAGAAAAACAAATACTGTACGCTAACACATTTATATGGAATCTAAAAAAAAAAAAAAAGTCATGAAGAACCTAGGGGCAAGACGGGAATAAAGATGCAGACCTACTAGAGAATGGACTTGAGGACACGGGGAGGGGGAAGGGTAAGCTGGGACAAAGTGAGAGAGTGGTAGTGTATATATGGACATATATACACTACCAAATGTAAAATAGATAGCTAGTGGGAAGCAGTCGCATAGCACAGGGAGATCAGCTCGGTGCTTTGTGACCAGCTGGAAGGGTGGGATAGGGAGGTTGGGAGGGAGGGAGATGCAAGAGGGAAGAGAGATGGGGATATACGTATATGTATAACTGATTCACTTTGTTATAAAGCAGAAACTAACACACCATTGTAAAGCAATTATACTCCAATAAAAACGTAAAAAAAAAAAAATCCTGACCTGTTGGAAAACACTGGAAAAGAAGAGCAAACTAAACCCAAAGCAAGCAGAAGGAAATAATAAGAATTAAAGCAAAAATTAATGAAATAGAGAAGGAAAAACAATAAAGAAAATCAGTAAAACCAAAAGTTGGTTTTTGGGAAGGTCAACAGAATTGACAAACGTTTAGCTAAAATGACCAAGAAAAAAAAAGAAGACTTGAATTACTAAAACAGGAATGAGAGGGCAGTTATTACTCCAACCGTATGGAAATACAAAGATTATAAAGGACTACTATAAGCAACTGTATGCCAGGCTTCCCTGGCGGTCCAGTGGTTGGGACTCCGTGCTTCCGGTGCAGGGGACGCAGGTTCCATCCCTGGTTGGGGAACTAGGATCCCACATGCCGCACGGCATGGCCAAAAATCCCCCCCAAAACCCCCAAATAACTGTATGCCAAAAATTAGGTAACTCGTATGAAATGGAAAAATTCATAAAAAGACACAAACTACTGAAATTGACTCAAGAAGAAATAGAAAATCTGAATAGACGTTTAACAAGTAAAGAGATTGAATTAGTAATTGAAAATTACCCACAAAGAAAAGCACGTGTTCAGATGGCTTCACTGATGAATTCTACCAAATAGCTAAAAAGAACTTGATAACAATTCTCTATAAACTCATCTAAAAAATAGAACAGGAGGGAACAACACCTCCCAGCTTTTTCTATGAGGCCACCATTGCCCTAATGCCAAAACCAGACAAAAGACACCGCAAGAAAAGAAAACTACAGGCCATTATCTCTTATAAATATAGACACAAAAGTCCTCAACAAAAATACTAGCAAACTAAATCCAGCAGCATAAAAAAAAAATTATATACCATGACCAAGTGGGATCTATCTCAGGAATACAAGGTTGGTTTATATCCCAAAATCAATTAATATAATACAACTTATCAATAGAATAAAGGACAAAAACTACATGATCATCTCAATAGATGCAGAAAGGCACTTGACAAAATTCAGTACCCTTTCATGATAAAAAAACGTTCAACAAACTAAGAAGGGAGGGGAATATCTTCAACCTGATAAAGAGCATCTACAAAAATTCCACAGCTAACATCACACTTGGTGGTGAAAGACTGAATACCTTCCCCTAAGATCAAGGATGTCTGCTCTTGCCACTTCTGTTCAACATTGTACTGGCAGTTCTCTCCAAGGCAAGTAGGCAAGAAGATGAAATAAAAGCCATCCAGATTGGAAAGAAGTAAAACTATATTTGCAAATGACGTGATCTTGCATATAGAAAATCCTAAGAAATCCACTAAAAAAACTACTAGAACAGTTCAGCAGTAAAACATTTTTACTTAAGTGACAAAAACCTGTGCAGAAATTAAGTAGGTCATCTCTTCTCATTGTAAAACTTCTCCCTAGGATTCCATTTACACACATGGTTTCAAAGGCCATCTTGACATGGATGACTCACATTTTTCTTTCAGTCCAGACCCTTTCCATTCATCCCATCCTCCTCTCCACCCCCACCCTCTCTCACCTGCACAAGTGAAATAGCACCCTACATGGTCTCTCCACATCCAATCTTGCCCTAGTGCCATCCATTCTTCCTACTCTCAGGGTGAGCTTCTCAAAATGCAAACCTGATCAGTCTCTCTTTTTTGGATTAAAATAAAACTTGGCCCCATATCAGTTTCCCCAGCATCATCTCAAACTACTTCTACCTTGGACTCTGGGCTCCAGTCACTCTGTTTCTTAACACATGTCCCACTTTCTCTGCCACTCATAGTTTCTCTGTACATGTTATTCTCTATCCAGATCCTCTTTCTTCCCCCCTTTGCCTAGTTAATTCTTACCTTTAAGATCCTCCTACGCCAAGTCAAAAATCTCCTAATATATGCCCTCATAATACCTCCGTCCTTTAATCTTATCATCAAAATCGCAAGTTCACATTTCATTCATATAATTGTTTGCTTAATGACTCTCTCCCCCATTGGAGTTTAAGCTCCCTGATAGCAAGGACCTGTTTCTCCTCACTGCTTTATCCTCAACAGCAAGGACAGTACCTAGTATATGGTAGACACTCAAATTATCTGTTGAATTAATGAATCTTTTCCTGCAGTCTTTACCCAAACACAGTTAATTTGCATTCAGTTAATGCGAAGATTTTTCTGTTTCAAAAGTGTTTTAAAATTACAGTAGCAGGTCTTTTTTATGTATAAGAAACACATCTAATTAGTCCAATGTAAAACTAAATGTTTTTCATTTGAGTTTGACTTATTTTTGAATAAGTATGGACTTTTTAATAACTCCAAATTCTCTCTTCAAATGTCTTAACACATCAGTTTAGCTGCACATTTCTTCTTCCTCCTTCCATCACTGTAGCACATAAATACCTAAATGTGAAAAGTGGTAGTTAAGCATATATTTAGTAAAGAAAAGAATCCTTTCATAAATAGGTTCTAATTCTTCAGTGGCTCTATTATAAAAGTTGGAGCTCAGCAAATGGAGTTTCTTGAAAGCAAATTTACCTATAGTTCTCCATTGCGGAAGAAGGGAGAAGGAAAGGAGAAGGGAGAAACGGAGGCACTTCTGGCCAAGTGTTAACAAGAAAATATGCCTGGTGCTGTCGTTACTCTCTCCTTATCCAATGATATTTCTGTCTTAAATTTTCTATGACCCACATCAAGCCAGATAGGCACAAAATATTGATCCATATCCATCTGGCATTCCACTTCAGCAGTTATAGTGGGGTGAAACTCTAAAGCCTCATGGGTTGCAGAGATATTTCTTTAAAAGGAATTAAAATTGGTACAATAGTATGCATTGTTCAAAGGTTAATACTAGCTCCAATTTATTCTACTTGCATTCTTTAAAATCAGCTTAATTTTCATGACTCAATGTCAGGCCAAAAAGTACTACAGTAAAGAATTAACAGGGACTTCCCTGGTGGTGCAGTGGTTAAGAATCTGCCTGCCAGTGTAGGGGACACGGGTTCGAGCCCTGGTCCAGGAAGATCCCGCATGCTGCGGAGCAGCTAAGCCCGTGAGCCACAACTACTGAGCCCGCGCTCTAGAGCCTGCGAGCCACAACTACTGAGCCTGAGTGCCACTACTACTGAAGCCCATGCGCCTAGAGCCCAGTGCTCCGTGACAAAGAGAAGCCACCGCAATGAGAAGCCTGTGCACCTCAACGACGAAGTAGCCCCTGCTAGCCTCAACTAGAGGAAGCCCTCACACATCAATGAACACCCAGTGCAGCCAAAAAATAAATAAATAAGTGAATAAAAAAAAAAAAAGAATTAACAGTGGATTGGCAGCTACTAGGTATGGGATTTCTTTTTGGGTGATGAAAATTTTCAGAAATGAGAGAATGGTGATGGTTGATGACTGTACTAAAAACACTTGGATCGTGCATTTTAAAATAGTAAATTTTACATGAATTTTATCTCAATTAAAAATTAACAGTGATCACTAGGAGCCTTGAAAGTTAACCGTGTTTTCCCCTCTAACACTGTCTCTGAGCATATGGAGAAATAAGACAGTCATCCTTAATTAGGAGGAAAGAGTTCTACAAGCTGGCACTTAGGACAAAGAGAACCCAAAATTCTAAGCTACTATCTGGAGGTTTTTCCCTTGCTTTCTCCTTTCCTTAACCATCATGCTTCTTATTGTCAAATCTTCTCTCTGCACCCAATATTGTTTGCTAAATAGCGATGACATTTTAAAATATACAAAGCATCCTAAATCAGCTGAGGGTTTTTCTCCTTCATCAATCTAATTTGTCCCAAGCTTGGATTTACTAGTAACCCCTCATGGATGTGAGAACATGCTAGCTTCTTTTCTTTTAGATCCTTCTGCACCAAGTCAACGGGGTTTTGTTCCAAAATCAAAACACAGCTGAATTAGCATTTTGAAACTGAACTGATCTAAGGCTGTGATCCTGCTAAGTTTAGGGAAGTATTGAAAGCTGAATTCAGGTTGAAAAAACAAACAAAAGATGGGTCAGTTCTCAGAACCCGCAAAAATCTGGTCCTTACCTATTTCCTCTAGCTTTTTAAAAATGTTTTTTGTTTTTATTATATTTTAAATGTATTTATTTCATTTATTTATATTTGGCTGTGTTGGGTCTTCGTTGCTATGCGTGGGCTTTCTCTAGTTGCTGCGAGCGGGGGCTACTGGGCTACTCTTCGTTGTGGTGCACGGGCTTCTCATTGCGGTGGATTCTCTTTGTCACAGAGCACTGGGCTCTAGGCATGCAGGCTTCAGTAGTTGTGGCACGTGGGCTCAGTAGTTGTGGCCTGCGGGCTCTAGAACGCAGGCTCAGTAGCTGTGGCACACAGGCTTTGTTGCTCCGCAACATGTGGGATCTCCCCAGACTGGGGCTCGAACCCCTGTCCCCTGCATTGGCAGGCGGATTCTTAACCACCGCGCCACCAGAGAAGCCCTGTCTAGCTTTTTGTCAAAGGAGAGCCTCACCTTGAACTTTACGCTCCAGCCACTCTATCATTTATCCCATTTCCCCTGTGACTCACAGGACCTTTGCACGTGCTATTTCCTCTCCCCAAGACCCTCTCCTCTCTTTTGCCTAGCTGATTTCCACTCATCTTTCAGATCTTCCCGGACCAAGCCAAAACGCCAAGGGAATCTTGTAATCACTGGCCTTGCCATTCGGAGCACATTTAATAGACGTGGGAAATTATGTCTCGGCAGAGGAGGTTCCAGGGCACCCTAGACGTGATTTCATTTTAAAGACCTTTCAAGGAGATCTTGGAAAGCTAGAGGTGGGCCTGCAGGACCAAAGCACAGGTTTTCTCTTGTGCATTAAGGAGTGGTTCAGGGGCCCTGTGGGGGCGTTTGGGCGCGCGGGGACTCGGTGAGCTGCAAGAGGGAGGCGGGGTCGCAGGACAGCTGCGCTCCTTGTTTCCTCCCAGGCTGGTAGTGTTCGGGGCTCGTCCGAGGGGGCAGCCCCGGCGAGCTTCACTTTCCCCACCGAGAACCCACGCGCCACCCCGGGCCCGCCGCCTCGCGGGCACTCCCCAGACACTCACCCTCCGCCCGCACGGAGAGCCCTGGCAGGCCGAGCAGGAGCAGCGCCGCCGCCCAGAGCCGGGTGCGGGAGCCGGGTCCCTTGGCAGACATGGTCCGGGCGTCCATGGGCGGGTGGCTGGAGCGCGGGCTCTGGCTGCGCCGCAATCGGGGGTGCCCGCGCCACTGCGCCGCGCACGCCACTCGGCTCCGCGTGCTGTGCTCTGTTCGCGCGTTGCAGGCTTCGCGCCCGGAGCGCAGACAGGGAGGAGCGCGGGGAGCCAGGGAGGCTGGGGATGCCAGATCCGCAGCGCTGGGGCCCCGAGCTCCCAGGGGGTCCAGTACTCGGCGCCGGGGAGGCGGCTGTAGCCGGGCTCCGCCTTCGTGCTGGGCACCTGGGGGCCTCGGTGCCAAAAGAGGCTGAGCCGAACGAACGGCGAGCTCCCTGGGTGCCTCCGGGGCAGAGGGGAAGGGCGCGTGGAGGCGGGGAGAACGGAGAGCCCGCTGCAGGGAACCGCCGCCTGCCTGGGGACCCTCTGCGAAAGGGTGACGCAGTCTGAGAGGCCAACCCACCCCACACCCCCCGCCCCGGGAGGACCGTGAAAAAACTGATGCCTAACTCTGTACTCTGACTCTTGACTTTGCAGCTCGCGTCCTCCTGTAGAGGAAGAACATTTTTACGAAAAAGAAAGCTCTAACTTGCCAGCCTCACTCTGAGGAGTGAAACGCACGGAATAGCGAGACTCCCCTTCCCTAAAAGGCCTGACAATCATTCACATGTGAGTGTAAATTAATTTACTTAACTATTCACCTTGCAACAGCTAGCTGGTAACCTGAGGAGTGAGAATTCACATGTCTGGGCTGGAGGGGACCTTTGAAAGCCTGGTTATTGCTGAGAATGGAGGGGAGGGGGCAGAAGGCACCTGCAGGAACTACGCATTGATTCCTTCAGGAGCTGTGCCTACGATCGCTTTCAGAATAGTCAATTGGATATTACTACCGAATTCTAATGAAACTTTAAAGTTTGTCTTTATTCAGACCCGTCCTGCCCTATCCTGATTTGGGGAGATAGCACGCTCTAAAGGTTTATTTGGTACAACTGCTTTAGAGAACTGTTTGTCTGTTTCATATAAAGTTAAAATACACCTCCTTGAAGACACAGAATTCCGCTCCTGGGTGTATATCCAAAAGAAATGAAAACGTATGTGCACAAAAAGATTTATACCCAAATTTCATAGCAGCTTTATTCCCAATAATTAAAAACTGGAAGCAACCCAAATGTCATCAAGCAACGAACAGAAAAACAAGCGGTGTCATGTTTATGCAATAGAATACTCTTCATCAGTAAGAGGAAGGAAATACTGATGCACTCAATAACGTGGATGAATCTCAAAAATATGATGAGTGAAAGAAGCTTTAGTAAAAGAGTTCATACTGTATGATTTCCTTTCTCGCTCGCTCTCTCTCTTTTTTTTTTTTTTTGGCCACACTGCATAGCATGCAGAACTTCCCTGACCAGGGATGGAACCCGCTCCCCCTGCAGTGGAAGCGCCAGGGAAGTCCCTGTATGATTCCATTTTTATATGAAGTTCACGAAGGGGCAGAACTAATCTGTGGTGGAAACAATACCGTGGTTGCCTTTGAGGAGATGGGAACACACTTCTGATGTAATGGGAACATTCTGTATCTTGATGAGGATGGCTGTCACCCGAGTGTATACACTTCTCAAACCTCACTAAACTGTACACTTAAAATCTGTGCATTTTGTTGAATGCTATTTATACCTTAATTAAACATATTTCAAGAGTAATGAGTTCAGTTCTTGCCCTGAAGAGTAAATAAGTTTAACAGAAAAGAGTTTAATGAAAGGACCACAGACAGAAACACGGGCAGGGTTGAGAGAACCAATAAGGGACGGTAAAGCCCTTGGGACTGTCAACAGCAGGAAGGGTTACCACCGTGAGGCCTGAAGGTATGAGGGCAGTTGGAGGTGTTATCAAAATCCAGCAGGAGCATGGTCATGAAAGGGGCTGCCTGAATGGAGAGGTTAACCACAGGTAGAGGAACACAGTTGCTGCCAGTGGTATGGTAGGGAGGGAGGGAGGAAGAAATACGCCAATCTCTCTCTCCTTCTGCCCTTTAGATTCCTCCTGATGCCTCCTGGTGGCTGAACCATTTGACAGCTGGACGGCAAAGGAGCACAGGTGCCACAGTCCTCAGAGGTCATTCTCCCAGGGCGCAGAGTCAGGCAGGAGAGGGTAGAGTGGATCTGGAGAGGCAGTTGGAAAACAACCAGCACAGTCCATTTATTCTCTTCTTTCATTTGGATGAACATAATTTGGAACAAAACAGGGGAAGCACAAAGCTCTGTCAGTTTCTGTATGATCTGGGAATATGTCAATTCAAAGTCTCACTTGGAGCTAAAACAGTAATATTAACCACTATCACTGGTTATTTTCACATAAGTGCTGTTTCACATAAAGAGAAATGGCGAAAAGTAAACCCTTATCATAAAATATAGAAACCACAATCCTTGCTCCCGTAACTGGCCAAGAGGTATTATTTGATAATCATTGCAATATTTCCCTTCCACCCTCAGAGCACCTTGGCCGACATGACTTTTTTTAACGGGTGCGAGGGATCCAAACGTTCATTCCTTCTGAGGACCTATCTTTATTAGTTTGCCATGGTTTCTCATTGACTTGCTATTGGACAGATTCCTGGGATCTAGACATAGTCATCCATATGCGCATTTTGTAGAAGCAACCCACTTTCCCCTTGGTAATCAGGATCAGTCACCAGCCAGTAGAGTGACCTTCTCTTCTGTTGGAGAGCAATATTAGCTTCCAATTTACTGGCAGATGCCTGTGTGTTTACTGGTGGAAGTATGTCTCCCTTGCCCACCCAAACCTTCCAATTCACCAATCTAAAGGTTGTAGGGATGGCATGCAAAACTTTGGTAGGTGGGTTATTATATGTAATAGAAGGAAGGTCATTCCCACTTCCACTCGTTGGTTCTTAGACGGTGTATTCTGTCTATAAGAGAAATGACACCATATATTGGCTGCTGGCTTAAGGCATATACTGTATCCTGGGCGAGTGCCCTAACCTCAAAGGGTATTGGCTCAGCTAGTACCCTGTGACCTCACCTTTCTATCAAGCCATCTGCTTCTGGGTGATGGGGCATAGAGTAAAACTCATGGGCATGATGCCATTGCCATACTGCCTTTGCTGAAAAATCAGTTTCTTGGTTATAGATGATGTAATGTGCGATTCCATGGCAATAGATGAGGCATTCTATGAGTCCACGATATCATGCTGGTAGAAGCAAGGCAGGCAAAGAAGGCAAAATCATATCTAAAGTAAGGATCTATTCCAATGAGGACAAATAATTGTGACCCCTGTGAAAAAAAAAGGGATCCCATATAAACAACTTCCCCCCACATAACAGGAAGGGCCAGCTAGGGAATGATGTCTTGTGGGGACTCATGGTGGCCTCTGCTGTTGGCACATTGGATGCTCAGCAGTGGTGGTAACCAGATCAACTCTGAGGAAGAAGAGAAGTTTGTGTTATTGTGTTCCTGCGTGGCCTCCATCTCTGCCACCATGACCCCTACGTACATGGTTCCATTACACAAGTGCAGATGCGGCTGGAGACAGAGGTACCTGACAGCCAGAGAATGGGTCCAGTCCTCCAAGGTGCCACCTGATTATTAGGGGTAACTTCTTCATTGAATTCTTCTTGTGGGGGGGTGGCATAGGCTACATACACATTGCCAGGCTGCTCATTCCAAGATGTCCAGACTGACTTTTTTTTTTTGGCTGCGGGGCGGCATGTGGGATCTTAGTTCCCTGACCAGGGATTGAACCCGCGCCCCCTGCAGTGGAAGCGTGGAGTCTTAACCACTGGACCTCCAGGGAAGTCCCCCCATACTGACATCTTATTCTCAGTTTTTCAGTGTTGAAATAGCTGTCTCTGACCAGCTATTTTAGGCATTATCCATAAATTAGTACAGATCCATGAATAAGGCCATCTCTCCTTTCATGTAAACCAAAGTTCCACACATTGGGAAGATTTTCTTTTGCTCCTGGGTTTTTCATTGTGGTAAAATATACATAACATAAAACTTACCACTTTAACCATGTGTAAGTGTATGGTTCTGTGGCATTAAGTACATTCACATTGCTGTGCAACCTTCACTCCTGTCCGTCTCCAGAACTTTTTCATCATCCCCAACGGAAACTTTGCCCCCATTAAACACTAACTCCCATTCCTCCGCTCCCTCCCTCCAGCTCCTGGTAACTTCTTTTCAACCTTCTGTCTGTATGAATTTGACTATTCTAGGTACCTCATATAAGTGGAATCATACAGTGTTTCTCCTTTTATGTCACGACAGTTTTTTAGTTCTGTACCAGAGTGGAGATGGCTAGTGCCACGCCATGGACACTCAAGTACAGAGCAGGCCCAAGTTTTTCCTTCCTGTGTTAAGTAAAACTCCCCATGAGTCCACAGATGTGGGCTGAGGTACAGGTAGCAAAGCAGTAGAAGCAAGTGCCCTGGAATCTGAGCCACCTGCTCATGTAATTTACTTGTTCCTTTCAGGCCTGCTCTTGTATACTCCATTTCCATTTGACAGTGGAATTCCGCTCTGTAGTTCAAAATGCCCCATTCAGGTAAGGTCTCATACTCACATGGTCAAGCAGTCAGTCTCTACCAGGGCCCAGTTGCAAGGTAGGAACTGCTTATCAAATGGAGAATAGATGATTATACTCTAAAACTCTAGGGGTCTACGTCACCATTCTACTATGTGGTTTGCCCATGCTTCATAAGGCATCCCTACCTACATTTAAAGTATTGTGTCTTTTATGGCATGAGGCCAAAGTGGCAACACAGTTTGCTCTGCAGCCTGGATACTGCAGAGTTCCCTATTGCTATGGACTGCTTTCAAAACTGTAAGCCTTATGAGTTTCCACATAGTAAATGGTCCCTAAACCATTGTATCTTCTTTTTGCAAAATTTATTTTACTGACGTATAGTTGATTTACAATGTTGTGTTAGTTTCTGGTGTATAGCAAAGGGATTCAGTTATACGTATATATATATATATATATATATATATATATATATATGTACATTCTTTTAAATATTCTTTCCTGTTATGGTTTATCACAGGATATTGAATATAGTTCCTGGTGCTATACAGTAGGACCTTGTTATTTATCCATTCTATATATAATAGTTTCCATCAGCTAATCCCAGCCTCCCACTCCATCCCTCCCCCAACCCCCCACCCCAGCGGCCACAAGTCTTTTCTCTATGTCTGTGAGTCTGTTTCATAGATAAGTTCGTTAGTGTCATATTTTAGATTCCACCTGTAAGTGATATCATATGGTATTTGTCTTTCTCTGTCTGACTTATTCACTTAGTATGATAATCTCTAGGCCATCCATGTTGCTGCAAATGGCATTATTTCATTCTTTTTTATGGCTGAGTAGTATTCCATTGTGTATATATACCACATGTTCCTTTTTTTTTTGGACCGCGCTGCACAGCATGTGAAACTTCCCCCATCAGGGGTCAAGCTCTTGCCCCCTGTAGTGAAAGCACAGAGTCTTAACCACTGGGCCACCAGGGAAGTCCGTACCATATCTTCTTTATCCATTCATCTGTCGATGGACATTTAGGTTGTTTCCATGTCTTAACTATTGTGTATAGTGCTGCTATGAACATAGGGATGCATATATCTTTTTTGAATTATAGTTTTCTCTGAGTGTATGCCCAGGAGTGGGATTGCTGGATCATATGGCAACTCTATTTTTAGTTTTATGAGGAACCTCCATACTGTTCTCCATAGTGGCTGTACCAACTTACGTTCCCACCAACAGTGTAGGAGGGTTCCTTTTTCTCCACACCCTCTCTAGCATTTGTCATTTGTAGACTTTTTTAATGATGGCCATTCTGACTGATGCGAGGTGGTACCTCATTTCTCTAATGATTAGTGATGTTGAGCATCTTTTCATGTGCCTGTTGGCCATCTGTATATCTTCTTTGGAGAAATATCTATTTAAATCTTCTGCCTATTTTTCGATTGGGTTTTTTGTTGTTGAGTTGATGAGCTGTTTGTTTATTTTGGAAATTAAGTCCTTGTTGCATCATTCGCAAATATTTTCTCACAGGCGGTAGGTTGTCTTTTTGTTTTGTTTATGGTTTCCTTTGCTGTACAACTGTTGTGTCTTCTTATCCATGGTGGTAGTACGTGGCTATCAGTTTCTCTCTAGATAAAGTCCTGACATAAAACAGTGAAAATGTGCTACTATTCTTGCTGGCTGAAGGAATTAAAAATGAACCATTTACTGGGTTAATAACAGGTGCCAAAGCCTGTATTTATGTATTCTAGTAATGACAATATACCTGGAAGAGCAGTTGCAACTGGCATCACCATCTGATTAATTTGAAGATAAGCTACTAATATTTTCCAATAATTCCATAATATTTTCCAGCTTTTGCTCTGGCAAACAGGAGAGAAACATTGAATGACCAAAAATCCTGTTTTATACTTCCTGTTTACACCTGTTGTCCCAGGGTCCCATCCATTTTCATACCTGACCCAGATTTTTCATTTTCTAAAGAAATGTTTTTAACACTAGAATTAACATAAGCCAGAATGGTGGTCCTCAATTTTGCACTCCTAGCTTCTGCATGTTTTCATTTAGTAGTGGGTGAGATGCATGTGCAATTCTCACTTGAAAACATGATTAAACATGAACGATAAGCAGTGACCCATCTCATTTTCCCTGATCGTTTTCTGATGCCACATAACCAGCTTCTCCCTTTGAAGGACAGTATGCAGAATGATCAGTGACATAAATCAAGTGTGCTCAGACACAAGGAGCTAGGGACAGCTCACTCCTTATGGTCTCTGGTCTTGGTGGGAAAAGTATTCAAAGCCTTGCCAACCACTCAATTTACTAGGCAGTTTTTCAGTGGCCTGTAAGATCCATGAGGCCAACAGTCA